TGGAATTGCTATCAAATTTAACTTACTGGGAGTGATCTACATGTTCAGGTTGACTGAATAAGTTGATTTAGTTTCAAATATTGCAAGGATAATCAATAAATGTTCATTTTTTGTCACTTTTCCGATCAAATGTAGATCTTCAACTCAATAGGAAAATTTATATTTTAAACATATTATGAATGTTGAGTAAAGCATTTTCAATGTTTCATTTTTTGTCCAACTTGTAATTATTTTTAGATTTGATGCTCAATAAATGTGAATTATCTTTGACCCAGTTTCCGTTCCAAGGTAATAATTACACGCTAATTGTTCTCAGTATTTTGCAAGATTGACAAATGTTCTGAGGTAAATTTAAAGGTTCCCTGTCCGTTCACCACACTAATCCTTTGAGTAAACATAAGCTTGAGAATGTTTTACAATTTTAAGAGGAAAATAGACTTAATTTTCTTTGAATTTTAAGTTAGAGTCAATTTTGAGGTGTAAAGTTTAATTTTTTTTGTTAATCAAACCCCATCATATCAGTACAAAGGTCTGAGTATTCAGTTAATGAAATAACGTTATACATCTTAATAAAATCTATATTGTTCATCAAGTCGAGTATATTTTTAAATTTATCTTTGTCGTTAAGACGAACATGGTTCTGCTTTTTTGATAGAAAACCTTATTGGGCTTACTTTGATCGAGCTGAGTATGACATTTCCAATTGTTTTAATTGATTAATCGATGAATATAAATTAAGTTACAGATGATTTTAAGCTAAGTTGAAGCTAATTTTTGTTTTAAGCTGTAAAACATTTTCAAGTTTTTGTTTGCTCAAATAATTAGTGTGGTGAACGGACACTATACCAATTTAAATACAAGTCTATCTTCTGTAGTGAAACGGTAGCGGAATCGTCCAGAAAAACAGAAAAGCACAATAATCAGCTCACCTTTTGGGCTAAAAGTTAGACAGCAATTGTTGCTGATGAGATATAAATCGAATTAGTAAAGTTGGTTCATTAGAAAAATTTATCGAATAAAATTCAGGAAAATTCTTGACAGCTATTTTGGCTAAGACGCAAGAACTCAGATTTTTTAGTAGAAAAGAGATAGTTTCATGTATAAAATGAAAAATTTAAATTTTTAGACTTTATTATTCTGATTTTGTTAAAAAATTGGATGAGAGCTCATTCTGCTTTTTGCGTCCTTAAGCATAAAAAATTTACTAGCGCAAAGCTGCAAAAAGAGCGTTACAACTATTTTAACCAATGCGGAAAAAGTTTAAGACAAATTTTTCAGATGAAATTTCACAATTAAGAAGTAACAATTAACAAACATTTTATACATCAGTCAGAAGCTGAAAGTCAGTATTTTCTGGTAGCGTCATTTAATCCGCCCTCAGTGACAAGATTATCTTTTGTTTCAACGTTTTTCGCAGGCTTCCGAAATTTATACTTAGGAAATTTTTTCAAAGATTTGCTACACTAATTTGTCTATATTAATTGATTCCAATGAATTTCAAGTTTTAAAAATTTCCAGCATATACTTTGAACTTCAGGTAATCAAATAATTTTTATTAGAAAGAAGTTCATTAAGAATTAAATTACTTAAGAGCTAAGGAGCTACTTATGGAAGATTCATTTCGAAACAGAAGCATTTGAGCTGACTGAAGCGCTATTGATTAATGCAAAAATCTAATAAACTGATCAAGCTATTTTTCTGAAATTTAATCTGAGTGAATAAATGTCCACTATAATCATTCTCCATAAATTTAAGTTCTATTGAAATTATAATTCCTGAGAAAAGAGAAAAAATTGTAGAAATAACTTGTCTCAAAGTTTCTCCGCATAGGTTAGCTTCCGGTGGTTCTGTCGTTCGGCTTTTACGTGCAGCTGAGGATTCTTCTTCAATAATAGTAGCATCTGAATTTTCGCCATCATCAGCAGGCATCCTCGAAGGGTGATTTGTGTATAACTGAAAGGTCGTACCAACCAACGAAAAAATCTAAATTTTGATAAATTAATCTCGATATCTTCAATTGCAAAATGTAAGTGATTTTTTGTTCGATTTCATCACTAATTTATATTTGCATTTGTTGAAGATACGATAATTTGAGCATTGCGTATAATACTTTTGAAATCTTTTTGGCACTGCAAGATCAGTAGTGTATAAATGTCCTACTTTAAGACAAACTTGTCCGCTCTAAGACAGCTTTTTTTGCTGCTGATGTCCAACTCTGCAACAATATACGGCATTATATGTCCGTAAGCTTTTCAACTCTGACGATATCATTTTATATTAACTTTGGTACAGCTTTTTTACATATTGAGATTAATGTTATTTTTAATAGCTTATTTAATCTTGTAAACTTTATCACAGCTTTTGCAAACCAATTAATGTTATAATTTTTTGACAAAATTCTCGAGTAAGCGCGTACAATTATTTCAACAGAAAATAAACAATCATCTTCTTGTCAAAATCAATTTTAGGGGAAAAACATAATTTTCTGTTTATACACAGTTGAGGGATATTTTTCCCCCATAAACTTTCTCAACACCCCACAGATATACATACAATTCACATTTAAATCAATAGAAGATTTAATTTCATTGCTGGAAATAGCCATGCTTGATTTTGAACAATAATTAAAGCCATGTAGGCTTTAACTTTCGTATGACCTGGATTGGACAAGTAGCCCAGAGTAGGACTTTTGTATACTACGAAGAGCTGAGAACTTAAAGACTGATTCTTGAAAATTATGTGCGTCTCAGAATGAAAGTATTTTCAATGCAAATATCTAATACCATTAATAATAAACTTTTGTGTTTTTATGCTGGACGTAGTTGCTTCTTTATTAAATCAAAAATAACCTAATAAAGAACAATGAATTTTAAATCATTTCAACTGAAACTCGAGCAGACTTTTGGCCATTCTTATAAAATATTGTCAAAATATGTAAAATTATTTTTCAATTCAAAGAAGCATAAAATTGAGCAGAGTGGCTCTAAAATGTCAAGAATAAGATTAAATTGCATTATTTGATTGACTTGATGTAGCAAATTGATGGTCGATTGAAAGGAAAGCTGAAAAACCAAAAAGTGGGGTCAAAAGTTGAATAGCCATAAAGAGTAAAATAATAATAGTTTGTCAACCGTCTATTCAACCTTATTCATCATTCATTTTCAAACCATAATCAGTTTGCCTGTGAAAAGTGGAAAAATTTCATCTCGTATTTTGTTTCCCATGCATTCATTGTGATCAAAATGAGTAGACAAAATCACTTTATTATTTTCCAAAATTCCATTCTCTCTTCATTCATTTTCATGTTCAATCGTCAACAAAACTTATTCGATATCCAAGCAACACTGATAATCACGGAAGGCAGAAAAGTGTTGTTGAAGGAAAATTTTTCGTTACTTATCATCATTGTCAAGATTGATGTTTATGATAGAAAAAAAAGTAGAGTGAAAAAGAAGAACAAGAAGAGAATAATGATGATGATGATGATGATCAGGATGAGGATGAGAAATGAAAGGAAATCGAATACAAAGAGAATGAAATTTTCAACAAATGTGCACATTTAGATGATAACGATGATTGGGAATGATTTTCTGTTGTGACTCTTCTTCCTCGTTTTTCACTGACTTTCACTTTTATTGGAAAAGATGTTTTCACTTTTCCCTAAGAAGTGAAACTGAAAAGAACCGGAAAAGGAATGTAAATGGATAACAATAAGCTGTGAATTTTATAAAATGGTTAAGATTGATTGGCTTCAATAAACCATCAAATTCACCAAGTTGACCTCATTCTCCAAGAGCATTGGATCATCGGTTGTTTTGAATACTTTTACCATGAATCATGATTTGTTCAATGGTCATTTACATTGACCAAAATGGAAACCAATGAGTCTCCTGTCATTTCCCTTTCAACAAGTAAACAGCAAAAACGACATCATCTTGTAAAATCCATTTCAGTTTACATTCACTTCTTGTCCAACTTGTCTGTAGCCTCTTGATATATCATCATCAACTTCAATTGAATGAAAAAAACTTTAAACATTCATCATCATTCAGCATTTCATTGAGATTCATGTTTTGAGCAGAAAAGGAAGAAAAAGGAAGAAAATAGAGCGATTTACTTTTTCCTTTTCTTTTTACATGATATTTTTATTCAAACTTTTCTCAACATTTTTCTTTTCCTTTTCCTTCTTAAGCCAACATGATTTGAATATAAAATTGAAAATTATCCAATGGATTACTGGCTGAAGAAGAGGAAGAAAAATGAATCTGATCAATGTTTTTCCAACTCAAAGCGTCTTTTCCTTTCATCCATTTACTAAACTCGAGCATAAACATTACCTTGACATTTGATAATTTCAAACATTGAACATTCCAAATTGAAAGTAATTAAGTTGAGAAATTAAATTATCATTGGTTATAAGAGAGGCAAGAAAAAAGTTGTCTAATCACATTATCTTGGTAAAGCATTGAATGTTAAAACGTTGACAAACCAATTTAGACAAATTGAATCTCAAGACTAGTTTAAAATGGCAATTATTAAACTTGAAGGTTGAAACCTACACAAGTAATGTTGACAACTTGCAATGACCATATCAAAGGCTGGATATTCACAGCTTTTTTATTACAATCAGTTTCATCAGTTTCATCACTTTTAGGACAACTTTTGTTGCCAATAAAAAGCTGTTTGTTTATTCAGATCATTTTTGTATTAACAAAGCTTATCGCAGCAAAGTTTACCAAGCGACTCTACTAAAGGCTCTTCAACCTAATCTGATGCTTTTGCTTGCACAAAGTTTACACTTTGTTTGCCCTTTAGTCTGTAAGTGATGAAACATCTTTTCTTTGATTAAACTTGTTATAACTTGATGAATCTTGTAAACAAGTGATTTTGTTTGAATTCAAAGTAAAACTGATTTGAACCGAAAAACATTATTACATGATTTGACTGATAATGGAAATATTGATTTGAATAGAAAATTTTCGTGTTTTTAGTTTGTTTACCTTTTCATGGTGAATACGATCATCCAGCAAGTCATCATTGAATGGTTGATTATCAAAAATGATGGAAATGTCAACATTATCAATTGGGATCAACATTTTAATTGATCTTTCCCTTCGACTTAACTTTTCCATTTCTTCTTGGCGAATCAACTGATGTAACAAGGTTGTCTTGCCCACCTTGTCTGCTCCAAGAACCAAAACTCGATATGTTTTGGCATCACGTTCAGGTAAACAGTCGTCATTAACTTCCGAGATGGAAAATTTTCTCGGATCAATTGAAGTTTTACGATAATTGGTCCAACTATCGGCATCACTATAAGACAGCCTTTCCTGACTTTTACGCCGTGACCGTCGTCCACCACCATTGACAGTACCATTAGTCATGTTGTTGTAATGGTTGCCAGTTGGTGGGGTGTAACTTTGACTTCGTGATCGTGTTCGCCTGTCTGGCTCTTGAACATTCAACACAATACCATTCAAGGCATCAGGCAGTGTATTGACACGAGGACGAAAATAGTGTTGCGTTCGTTGGACTTGAGGTGTGCCGATCGATGAACGATGTTGATTTGGTTGTTGGTTTTTCAGTTGATAATGGCGATTATCCTTGGATGAATATTGATACTGATTTTGTTGATGCATTGGAGGTTGAGGTGTATGGTATGAGTGGACATTTAACATGATCGATTGACTAATTGGACTAATTGATGAAGTACTATTGGAACTAGAGGTTGGACTGTCTGTTCTGTTATCCATGGAAGTGATGAAATCTAGGTTGCTATTTGAACCATTGCAAGTGTTGGTTAGGCCAGGTTTGTTATCCACAATTGGATATGTCGAGGTTGCTGAAGTGGATGCAGTTAGAAAGGCAAAATGACCATCACATGAACGTCGAGGAAAATATTGACGAGGTTTAACTGAAGGTGAACTATTCCGATGTCGAGTTGGATAACGATAACCTGGTTCATTTACTGGACTCAGAATTTGATTGGAACGATTCATGTTGTTTTCACTTGTCCAAAAGTCGAGAAAAGAGTAAATTGTTGGTGAAAAAAGAAAATGAGTTTTTCATGAAATTTGTAGAAAAATATTTTTGCAAACTTTTCGATATTCAAAGTGATGAGTTTGCTGAAACTTTCGAGTCAAGATTTTTAAACGCTTTTACTTGATTGGAATAAAAAAAAGGTTGAATTGCAAATTTAAAGGCAAAGTAATGAGGAGAAGAAAAAAAAACTTCTTGAAACTGAACAAGTTAACGGTTGGTAAACAAAACAAGAACTGAATGATGAAGAGGAAAATGTGAGCCTCTTGGGCAACATTGTTTGCGCATGATGTTCATGGGTTCATTGATGAATACTGATGGGCATAACTGTGGTTGAAGCTTTAGTTTAGCGAAAGACAAGATTGCAAGAGCAAGAAAAATGTCCATCTAGGAATCGAAGAAAAAAATGGACAGGAAAAAGGCAATGATGAAAGTTGGGTCAACTTCAGTAATCACTTTTTTCTCCTCACTCCCTGTTCCTTGGTTGAGCAACCCAAACATGGATATATCCATTGATCCATGTTTGTATAAATCTTGTTTCATCATATTTGATAAGATAAAATTTGATGTCTGAATTATGATCATAATGATTATCAAAGTAATGAAGATAATGGATGTAATAGCAAAACCAAAAAAAAACTTGCTGCAAATGGATCATGATTCGTCTATGATGCTACTCATGAAACCGGAAGTAAACCTTTTTTTGGCTGTTTATTGACCTTACCTTTGCTCTGGTTTTTTTTGTTGAACATTGCCTTCTATTCGTGCCTGTAATTTAATAGTTGCTGTTATCATATGAGTAAACAAATATGGTCAACACAACTTTGGATTCAATCGATAAATGTTCAAGTCTTTTCTCCTTTTCAACTAATGAATGATGAAGTAGGAAAATGTATTGTATGATAGACTACTTTGGACATTAATTTGACTTGATTATTTGTTTGCTTGACTCGCAACTTGATTGGCTTGTCTTTCCTGGTTCACTTGCAATGTATTAACTTTCCTTCACTTTATTTACATTTGTGGGTTTACATTCATGTTTATGCTAATGCAATCATATTTGCTGTTACTGTTGTTGAATCGTTATTTTGTGTTAATCTGTTAATTGTTTTATTGCTTTGCCTCGCAAAGGGTTATAATAAAGATTTGCCTTCTATTAGACAAAAGATTGATCAAGGGCATCGATGTGCTTTATGCTTCTTGGCTGGATAATGTAATTGGCAAAGTATGCAAAATTTGCTATTTGCAATTTACACAAATGGTTAAGGCTGAGACGCTTTAACGACGTATGATACTTTTGTGTTAAAAGGGAACAATTGTTACAATTATTTCTAGATTAATCATGATTGTTGTATCGTGAGCAGAACTTTAGTGTAACTTTATTTTTATCCAGGTTTTAATTCATCAGAATGCTTTCATGTTTATTCAATACAAGTAACGTCCTCTGTTGAACAGGCATCAAGGTATATTTCGAGTTTCAAGTTTATAAATCAAATGCGACATAGATGTTAGTTATGTAATGGTTGAAATCGTGATTTTTGCACAATGTCGTCATTGTTTACTCGTGGTAATTTCTTACTGAAAGTCAACGAAATAAATTAAACGATTTAATTAATTCATTTATATTTAAATGATCAACGCCCGTTTGTACAGGGCTATTCAGCCTCATTCACTTCACGTTTTATTCAATATCTCAAAATTAACTATGCTAGCTTTCTTATAAGTAGTGTTAAAAAGTCCTACTTTGAGACAGCTTTTTTCCACTTCATGTCCGACTCTGGGACAAGAGTAAAAACGCGTTTTTTCGATTAGCATTTTTCTGATGAAAGAGAATGGGAGAATTTTTAGATTGAAGCTATTTATTTTTCTTTTTGATTCTATGAAAATATGTCTAAAAAATCATTTTTTATCGGCAATTTCTTGAGATTTTTGGCTGCCCATTCCAAATATTGTCTCTCAAACTCTTCTTTCGGAAAACCAAAATGCTTTTCCATCTTCCTATTCATGTAGTCGCAGACCATGTCGCGATCTTTCAAGTCCTGGACCAATTCCAAGTTCGCACGGGAAATTCTTTCAAACTCACGAACGAGCTCGTTAGCCTCTCTGGCTTGAGTAGTTAGGGCTTCCACTTTGTCCTCTAGCTCTTCATTTAAATGATCGATTACTTTTTGCGCCTCTTCCAAATATTTCTTGAGCTGAGAGTTTCGGTTCCTGACAAGACCCATTTGTTCTTTGGTGCCTTCAAACGCTGACGTCATCCGACAAATGAACTTCAGAAGTCGTTTGAAGTTCAAATAAACGAATGACGTTTTAATGAATAAGTAGCATAATGCTTGAACTGTCTTCAACGACACTTCGATAACTGGCCAAAACCCTACGTTATACTTGATATTTTTTGTATGCTTGATGCTCGTTTTTGCTAATAGCTTTACAACCAGCAGTGGAATCCGGACGCTCTTGATAAATATTGATAACTGAAATGACTGATAGAATAAGCCCAAACATTATTGATTGTCTTCTCGTGAATGAATTTTATCAATGCAAAAGTATGGAAATTTTGAAAATTTATTTTTCTACTTTTTATACAAATATATGGTGTAAGTTACTTGTTACAAAATATCAATCGTTTTCAGCAGTTTCCATATTTATTAAATTTATGTTTCTTGTTCAAGCGTTTTCGTTTCAAGATGTTAGAATTGGTAAATTCCTTCATTTATAAGATAAGTTAAAGGTGATCATGGCATCAGTATAAGCTCAACAATATTTGATAAAAGCAATTGAGTACATTCAACAGCAAAAGTGAAAACATTTTCAGCCAAAGCCATTTTCAGGAAAAAGTTGCGCAAATGATTGAAGCTGTTAGTGACGATGTGCGCAAAGTATTGTTCAGCCAAAATTAAAACTGCAGTTCCCGTTTGGTCCACTTGTTAAGGTCATCAAAAGTATTGCCATTATCAATGGTTCTCAAAATGCTAATGCAGGTAGCAATAAGAAAATGATAAAAGTCAAGTTGTAAGTGAAAAATGAAAAATTGTACAAAAAGATGAAAAAAACGAAAATCCTGAATATCTATTGAAACCTTTGATGAAATTCGTAAGGAATCTCAATGTTTATTGAACTACATGATTGGACCCATTATGCATTGAGATTCTCAACTGAGCGTGTTTTAAACATAAAACGTTTGAAAAGTTGTCTAATACAAGTCCTTGCTCGACTCATGACTTTATTTTTGCTTTCTTTCGTTGCTCCCGCTTTACCAGAATTTTGAGTATTGTTGACAACTGACAAGTTTTCCTTAATCTGTTCAACAATCCAAACCATAATTTGTTCAATATTGTCACCAATTTCAGCTGAAGTCTCTATGAAATGTACACTAAAGCGACTCGCCAAATCTGAACCTTCCTCAGTGGTGACAACTCGAGCTCTAACCAAGTCCGACTTGTTGGCAACCAAACAAATGGATAGCTTGGGATTTGAATGGCAATGACGAAGTATGGCCAGAGTCAGAATTTGTCCAGCCTTTTCAAAGCTTTTCCGATCGGCAATTGAATAAATGATAAGCAAGGCTTGATTCCTTTTACCCTGAACCATGAAAAGAGAAAAAGAAAAAAGTTCAACAATTAATGATGTTTCAACTTTAATTAAACATTCAGATAAAATATGTGACACAGAATGGTAATGAAAGTGCATAAAAAGGATTGAAAGCAGGCAAATGATTCAATAAAGCTCAGCATCGATTAAATAACATTAAATAACATTCAATAATGAATACAAAATGCAACATTGAAAAGGAACAATTTTTGTCTCTTTTTTCCAATTCCCAGTTCGAAATGAGCAATTTGAAAAGCCATCAATTGGTTAAACGAATTTGATTAAACAGTTTAAAATGTTTATCCTTTTCCTCATCATTATCATTTTCCTAATAAATTTAATAGCCATTCCCTGTATCCATAAAAGTATAACATGGAAAAAGTTGAATCTCAATTTCTTCTCATTTTTATGGGTTTACAGAATTTCAAAGGTTAATAACATTGGAAAAGAAAAAAAGTTGAAAAAAAGTATTCCAATTATCATTATTAGTGTATATTTTTCCAATGATAACTTTTCACTCCCAGCAATTTTCACTTCCAAATGGTAAAACTTATTTATTTATATTGCAAACTGTGAATAAAATCCGAAAAGTGAATGAAATCCAAAATTGTGTTAACTTTAATATCCAACCATTTGCTTCTTTTTTTGCGTCCAATGCATTTGGTCAGTTTGATCACACTTTACTTGAAGCCCATCATTCACAGTTTACTCATCTTTTCATGCAAGTTATTTATCTTTTTAGTATTATTTGATGTTGCAAATGGAAATGTCAATATCTATTTAGTGAAGAAAAAACGAAGATGTTGAATGTCTTTTTGTTGCTTCTACTTTTACTGATAAGCTGACTGTGATTACATGAGAAAAATTTTGGTCAACATGAGTTGAACATCAGAATGTTGCCATGGAAAATTCAAATTTTTTTTTTCTTCTTTTCCTTTTCCCAGAAAATGAAAAGTAAAATATTGTTTGCAGTATCAATCTAAATCTTTTTTTAATTAAGAGAATCGTAATGAAAATATGAGTTCTTTGTGAGTCAACTTGCGAGTTTCATTGTGTTTGCAAACTCGATTCTCATGAGAATGTGTTATATCAAAAGATTAGAATCAATTTTCTTCTTTTTTCAACTCTTTCGATTTCTTTTCTTCTACTCTTTGGTTGCTAGTTTAAACCCGTGTTTGACTTTGATTGTCAATTTTGTTCTGTTTGATTACTTTGATTGGGTGAAAAGATTAATTGACTGTGGACAAGAAATGATAACAAGAAAAGGTTCAACTTTTACAGAAAGAGATTAAACTTTGATAATAAAGCAAATGAAGGGAAAAAGAAATTCTCATCCCAAAAGGCTTTCTTTTCATGTTGTTATTTCATGGAGAATGAAATAACAAACTTGAACACACAGAGAGAAGGAACCAAAAAAAAGCAATCTTTTTTTATTCTTTTCACTTCCCTGTTATCCTAGATAATGATAATGATGGAATGAAAAAAAGTGAAAATGATTGTGGGTTCGAATCGGATGAAATAGGAATCAAATTTTATCTCCAATTGACCCGATCGTTATTTTAAAACAAAACTATCGTTGAAATGGATTTTGAAAATGATACTTTTCATGATTGTTTTATGATAATTTTTTCAAATTTTCATTCTTTTCCAACCGATTAGCTAATGAATATTTTCTCACAACTTTATTTTCAATCCCTGCTCAATTCGTGGCTTTATTTACATTACCGTAAGATGAATTAACGATAATCTAACGATAATTTGTAAATTTAGTTTTTTATCCATTATGTCTGTTTACAGTCATAACTCACTAAAGGTTGAGGCTACAGATTTGAACCATGAGGTTCCCCATGAACTTTTAAGATCATTCAAAGCCATTTCAAACATCATTAGGAAGATATACTAGTTTTCTCAAACATGAACTTAACTAGCTGAAGGATACTTAAACAATCTTACTTCAAACAATATGAGTTAATAATTTGTATCAACCAATCACTATTTTTGTTGAGTTTTGGTGTTGAGTATTACTGTTTACTATTAGTAGTAAGTAGTAATAAAGATACACAAGATACCCCACTTTTATTAACCTTTGATCGAGTTGTCACACATTAATCAATAGATTAAAAGCGTGATCTAGGATGAGTCAAGAACATGTCCCAAGGTTACTACATGATTTGATTGATGATGCATTTGCTTTATGCGGAATAAGTTTTGATTGCATTTTACATTTATGTATTAAAACAAAGTAACTAAAGGGGGCACGGCGTCAATCAATTATAACCCTTCCAATTCTTCAAATTATTTTAACCCTTCTTCTTCTTTGCTTTTAAATTTCTAATTGCATCTTCTATTATTATCACATTTTGCCTTAGGATGATCATGATTCTCATCTATCAATTTATTGAATGATATTATTGGTGCATCTATTTTAATTGCAAACTTAGTTATGACACGATGACCTGAATATTGTAAGACTAAATTAAGATCCTTTATGGAAATTTTTCTTGTGAATTAAGTATAAAAGAAAAAGAAGAAAACCCGGATCTATCCCTTGCCCATAACGGTTTACCCTTCATCATCGTGTTCATTTTGTTTTTGTTCTACCAACGGAACACATCAAAATCAGTTTCTTTTGCTACTCTTCATTTGGAAAAGTGTACCTTTAACTATTTGCTAATAATTCCTATTAAAATCAATTTGTTTTGTTCCGACTCCGTCTTGGTCATTCATCTTTTGTTCCACCATCAAATACCATCAAATATCATCAAAATCAGTTTCTTTTGCTACTCTTCAGTTGAAAAAGTGTACCTTTAACCATTTGTAATCAATTACTATTAAAAAGCGATTTGTTTGTGATTTTCTGCGAATTTCAAAGTGAGTTATTAAAAATTAATTAATCAATATTATTACATTATTAAGAACCTACGAATCTGTTTTACAGGAATTTTCAAAGTAAATTTACCTTCAGTGATTTGCAATTTCTGGAAAAAATCAATTGTTGTGAAACTACCGGAGATTACAAAAATTGAGCGTTACAACAAGGATTATCCGATATTCAATTTTGGACTAACGTATATCAAGAAATAATCACATCAACTCAAAGTAAGTAAAATTACCTCAATCCTTGGTTTGTTATATCATCTGATGCTTGAATTAACTTAACGTTGATCTTTTGAATTTTCTAAAATGTACATCAAGTAAAGAACTTTATCAGGATGATGATTGAGTTGAGATCTCGATTAACTTTCACATTAATGCAAGAATTGATAGTTTTTACTAGTTACTTGAAATTAGCTTTCTGATGGACTTACAATTTACTTCGAAATTGAGAAATAGTGAGTGTAATATTGAGATTAGCTCGTCTTCAAGATTGCTTGTGTTAGAGTAATTTACCCTAAGATTGAGGTTTGCTATTTATTTAACTTATGGATTTCAGGGCAATAGAATTTATGATTAAGATTGGATTCGCCATTTACTCTAGCTCTTAGCAAGACATTATGATTGATTGTTCTAATGACTCTACAACTGAGATTTGCTATTAGATTAACTTATTATGAAGTTTAACTTACATTTTCAGTGTAGCAACGATATATGCTCAAGATTGAAGTAAGGGTTTAGCTTTGTGCATTAAGAATGCATTGATTAACTTCACGATCTTGATTTTTCTTTTTTAACATTGAGATTAGTTTTCCTTTAAGTTGGCGTAGAACTGAATTTAAGATTGAATGCTGTGATTGAGATTAAATTAGGACTGACTTTGTTTAATACTGAATTTTTTGTGAATCAGATTATCTTTTTATTAATACTGACTTTGAAATTTGTTTTGTGATTAACATTAGCTTATTATTGTGATCAAATTGAGACCACCTTTGCGGTTGGGTTTGAATTGTTTTTGTGATCAAGATTATCTGACATTGTTGTCGACTTAAGAATGACTTTAAAATCACTTTGTGATTCAGATTGACTCAAAGCATAAGATTCAGTCTATTCCTTAATTAGATAATTAGCTTTTAACATTGAGATTTAATTCTGGATTAAGTTTGATTTTAGATATAATATTGGATTTATGGTTGTCTCTAACATGTAGATGTGCTTTTTCTTGTCTTCTGGGCCAACTTTGTAATTGACCGCGGGCCAAGAACGGATTTACGATTGAGATTAACCATAAGCTTGACTACAAAATTTACCTTAGAATTAGAATAACCTTTAACATTTAGATTACACTTTTAGATCAATTTAAGGATTATGATTAGTTTACGAATTGGGTTTGGATTTGATTACAATTTAGGCTACATTTTAGATTGATCTTAGTATTGATATTTGTTTTAGATTGACTTTCACCATAAGATTAAGATAATCATTTTAATTAATTTAGTATTGAGTAAAAACGCATAGAAACTCAATGGCTCGCGATAAATGACTTCTGTAAAAAGTATACTTGAATATTTTAGACCTATTTTGGGTAGGCCAACTTTCTCAGACCTCCGGTCTGAAGAAGTTGGCCATTGAAAAAAATTCGAAAAAATCACTCCTTCTATGGGAAAATCGAGTTTTAACCCTGCATTTTTTCAATTGCTCATAACTTTTTTATTACTCGCTTGTTCTTTTCGCACTAAAGTGCGTTGGATTTGTCTGATTGAGATACACAACTTTTGTATTCATTAATTTTACCTAGCTTTTACCATTGAAAAGTTATCCTTTTGTGACAAATTCGACTATGATAAACTCGATTTTTTTTGGCTTATAACTTGAAAACAGTAAGAGATAAAGGTGTACTTCTTTGATAATAAATTATCAACTCAAAATTATCTTTCCATTTTTCAAGGTCACGCAGGTCTTTTTCAAGGTCAAATTTTTTTTTTCCAAGTTTTACATAGCTTTTGTTGGACTGATTGTATGTAAGTGTCTTGAATCTGTATCTAGTGGCTTAAAGTGACTTTCAGATTATTATTGAGTTTGACCTTGAGTTTGACTTTGAGTTTTACTTTGATTTT